TTCCACAAAATGTAGAGGTATTAACTTTAGTGTCCTGGCAAAATTCCATTTTGGATTATTACATTCTGATTGCCTAAATTCCCCTATAAATTAAATTTAATTGCTGGTGTGACGGGTTTGGTCACAGAGGCCCCCTTGGGACTGTCATCTGATGTGCTGAAACTACCTCTGAGCCCATTTTCCCTGGCAGCTTGGGACTTCAGAACCCTGCCTTGTTGAGCCAGACACACTAGCCTGCAGCAAACACAGACCCAGGTCTGAACCACATCCCGCAAAAAGTAGGATTTAAGTGGTTCGAAGTAATAAGAGACAGAACAAAGTAAGTTACCATGCAAAATAAAGCAAAATGCGCAAGTCTAAGCCTAAAACATTAAGAAACTGATTTCAGATAAAATCCCACCCTCAGAGATGTTCCAATAAGCTTCTTTCACAGACTGGACTCCTTCCTAGTCTGGATCCAGCAATCATTCACACCCCCATAGTTACTGTCCTTTGTTTCAGTTTCTTTCAGGCATCTATTGGGGATGGAGAGGCCATCTCTCAAACCAGCTGAAGACAAAATGGAGAGGCTTCCAGGGCCTTTTATATTCTCTCTCTTGTGGGCAGAAACCCCTTTGTTCATTTGTGCAAAGTCACAGCAACAAGATGGAGTTTGTAGCCACCTGGGCAAGTCACATGTCTATGAATGATTCAGCTTTTTGCAGGCCGATACCATTATTTACATATTAGTTTGAACATTCCCAGGAAAGCTCAGATGTGGATTGGCATCTCCCAAAGTCCATTGTCAGTTAAGTGTTTCTTGATTGGGCACTTATTGAGAATAGTCCCTTCTCAAGAAGCTAACCAAATACTTCACTGAGGCTACTTAGAATCAAACACATTGAGATACAAGTACATAGCCAGTATTCATAACTTCAGATACAAAAATGATACGCACATACAGACAGCATAATCATAATCAGCAAACTACAACCTTTCCATAGACAACCCACTTGACCTCCACTGTACAAGACCTGATGCAACCATAGGACCTGGGTTGCAACAATGATCTATACGGTCACAGTTCATGTCAATAATGTCACAGCTAGTATTTGTCACTCTTTGTCCTACATTCTTGAGTAGTTCTTCTGTGAGCTGTTAAACAGTTGCCTCGTTCCACCCAGAAATGGCTGCATTTCATGGCTGGGTAAAACAGCTCCTATATACATATGGAGAGGGGGTTCAAAAGCACTTAGCATTGCCTTCAGTTTGCTGCTACTGAAGTTAATAGTAAAAATCTTATTATCTTCAGTAGGAGCAGATTCAGACCAATACCTGAGTGCTTTTGAAAATCCCACCTAGCGTCTGGAAAAAAATTAACATTCTTTGGGATGAAAGGAACTATGTAAACAAAAAAAACCCTATGTGAATGCAAGATTTTTCAGAAAACAAGTAGCCAAACTTACCAGAATGCTGGCAGCAGAATAAAACAACAGGAAACAAAACAGGACAAAGGGTGGGCATAGAAAATGGGTACATCTGTGAAAGAAAAGAGCAAACAAATAAGATCTACTTTAAACCAGCAAAGCATCCAGTTTTTGAACTTTTAGAAAATGCTAAGAGGTAAATATTTAGGAATTATGCCAGAAGCAGAAGTGTGGATTGCAAGCTCTTTGTGGCAAGGACATATCATTTTATGACTCTTTAAGGCACCATCCACACCACCAGTACTTTAGAAACAACAGTAATGAAAACGACTCCTCCCTTATGATGTCTGTAGATTGTATGCGTGCAACTGAACCATTTTTAATGCAAGTCAAGACCTTTATTGCCTGATAGTGTCTATACTTCTTATTTCTTGGCTCCACTTCTGGAAGAGATGCAGAACAGATAAAGACTAGTGGTTCCATAAATAACCATTGAGGAGGGCACTACTTTAGCTAATCCTCATACAAAATGATTGAAAGAGAAATAAATACAGAGTGATCCAGAGACCTGTTGCTATAAACACAGGAGTAAATCATTGCACTTGGAGTGAATGAGCTGGATTCTGTGCTCCACCTGCACAAAACTTGAAGTACGAGGCAGAGTGGGGAATACAGGCAAAGGTGACTTTACACCACCTTTGTGCTGGTTGGATTTTGGGCTGCCTCAGGTGTTGAAACAGCCTTCAGCACAAGTTAGAGGAACTCCTGGGGAGCTCCAACTAATGGCAACCTTCACAGTTCTGCCTGTGGGCTGCACAGCAGCCCAGACTCTCCGGAGAATCTAGCAGAGAACAACAAGCATGTCCCCTAGTCTTCTGCCCCCAGCTTCCTCCTGGCATGTCTCCTTCAAGGCCTTGCAGAGGAGGAGGTGGTGGGGAGAATCTAGGAAACATACATTGGCTCCAGGATGCTCCTGCACCAAGTAATTCTCTCACAGACTCTCAGAGCTTCTGAACGGCTGCCTATACACTGCCACAATGTCATATGGATGATTGGGCAGGGAGTAAAATTGGCCCGGTCGGACTATTTGTGCACACTACAGAGTTTCACTGTGACATGCCCATGTGTTGTATGTCGTTGTAGGCACGCCTGTCCCAGCATATTAGAGAGACAAACCGGGCGAGGTAGTATCTTTCATTGGACCAACTTCTGTTCATGAGAGAGAGAAACTTTCAAGTCACACACAGCTTAGAATATGTGCTAAAAACTTATGCTAAACAATTGTTCCACCTTGCATTTAACTGGGACGCTCAGAATTCCTTTCCCAGATCTGAAGAAGAGCTCTCTGTAGCTCAAAAACGTGCCTCTCTCACCAACAGAAGTTGGTCCAATAAAAGATATTACATCACCCACCTTGTCTTTCTAATGTCCATGTGTTGCAGACAGAAACAATCACTGCAAAAAGCACATATGGAGAGCTGATCCTCGAGCTCTTAAAACACTGGTCTCAAGCTGAAAAGTTTCTTTAGCTAGTAGTGCTAACAGTCCCATATCCGCTCTGGGGGCCAGCCGCTGGAGAGCATCATCACTCACTCAGACACCCAAGCGGATAAGTTACAGTGAGATTCCAGAGCACATTACAGGCATGCTGTACCTGGGTTAGGTACTGCTGTGGCTGCAAAGTGAGCTGCTCTGACAGCTCATGTTTCTTCATTGTAGTTCTAGCTCCTCCTTCAGTTCCCAGTCAGCTTTCCCTTTGGCCACATTGTGGCTTACATTTTAATAGAGACCGTTTTGTTAACATTTTAATCCAAAAAAGACTGTATATTTTTACTTCTTCTTAAATGCATTTTAGCTGCTTGAAACAAATGTCCATGCCATTTCTTTCCTCTTGCTTTAGATTCAAGGTTTTTGTTTTTTTCATTTGGGGTGGGAGGAGGGAGTTTAAGGAAATCTTCTCTTTCTTTACTAGGTGAGTTTCCAAAAGCTTTTGTAGAAAAAAAAAATCCTAATAGATTTATGCACATTTGGTTCATGAAATAAATCTGGTTTTGCATACAGGCAAAAGCGATTTTTATTGGGTGTGAATTAACCCTTTTTAACCTTCTTTAAAGGTGTCAGTGGGAGTTGGGCAGCCAACTCCTTGAAGTGAGGTTGCCCGTCTCTGTTTACTTCAGGTTGTTTCCTAAGTTTTATTTGTGTTTACTCCTTGGGTCAGATCCTTGGGCCTCTACATTCTGCACTGGACCAAGTTGGGTAGGAGGGGGAAAGGGAGGGAAGTCATAATGTGGCTTTAAGCAATGTTTGTCTCCTATCCAACCCCTGATTCTGAGTGGGCAAGGCTTTGAGCCATTTTCAAGGCAGAATTTATATAGCCTTGTCAATCTCAGCAACCCAGAATTTCTGGGGTGCAGGAATGCCCTGGCCACACCCTCTTCTCCCCTACTTCCCACCATAGTTAGAGGGAGGCTGTGCGGGAGGGGGCATCATAGGAGCCCCTACAATAACTCTGTGTTATAGAGATTCCCCCACACTGGGTAAGTAAGCTCCAAGACAGTTTCACAAAGCCCAAATCTGCCACATTACAGTGGAGGATTGGGGTCTTTGTGTGTAGTACTCTGATTAGAATTCCTGCCAGTAAAAATCAGCTTGAGCTTATTAATTTTTTAAAAGAGGCTTCTCAGAAACTTGCATGAATTGTAAACAGTGGACCAAATTCTGCTTATTTACACCTGAGCAAACCCTCTCAAATCAGTGGGATTTGAATGAGCGTATATGAGAGCAGAATTTGGCCCAAAATACTTTAATTCTTCTGACACTACGTTTTGTCTCCATCATTTCAGCAGTCATGAATCGTATCTGTCTACAGATCACATGGGTATGATCTCCATGGTGACTTGGTCACTAGAGGTAGAAATATGAGCTGGCAAGTCAAGGTTACTGTGTCTCCCTCTCTCCCTTTCTCTGTCAGTGCAATGCAGGTAATTATTAGCATGACATTCTGACTTAAAGTAGGCTTCATCTGGAGCAAAATTTGCCATTTTTTAACTGCATAAATGTAGTTTGAACAATGCACTGTGAACCACAGATCCTAGATCCAGACACAGAGAGCTGGTGGTATCCTTTTCTGGACCTCATTTAGTAGAAAAGCCAGCATCCTTGGTTAGAGGAAGTTGATGCTACAAGAAAAATAAATAAAATGAAAAATCCTATGTAGGTCTTCCTTCTCTGAACTGTAGAAACTTTCATTGTGAGGAAATGACCAGCTCCTTTGTCCTTAGTAGATGTCCTGGGAAAATGGAAACATAAATACAGAATTACAAAGACAGAATTTGCCAAGTCTTAGAATACAAATACCTAAACAGACACAGTACAGTATAAGAGAGAATCTTAGGTCTTATCCATGTGTTTAAATTATCCAGCAGGCACTTAAAGTTTACTTCTTTGTACTGGTGATGCCCCTTTCCTGTTTTCATTGATGCAAAATGACTTTAAAATGAGTAATATTTTTCTTGTTTGCTAGCACCATCTCCCCCTGTTGTCCATCCACATAAAATGCATAGTCCTGGAACATAAGAAAGGTGATATGTTTCCTTCCAGCTCTTTTGTAAGCTGACATGAAGTAGACAGACCCTTCTGAAGTTTTGTGCATGCTGTGCTTCTTCCCCCACGCCTTCCTTGCTGTAGCAAGAAAAGCCTTTTCTTTTAACCGGGCTTCCTTTGAAGAAGTGACTCAGGCAGCTTCATGGCCTCTCAAGGTAAATGCATATATAGCCTGTATTTTTATATCATGTTTACAGAAAACTACAGTCTTTTAAATTTCCAGCAATTTAATTAAATGTGACTAAAGCCACATCATCCACAGCATGGTTATTTGACCTTTTTTGTTTTTCAGAATATGAGATGCTCCTAAGGAGAGTAAATCGATAATAAAATGTTAATTGCATAAAATATATTAAATAAAAAGTAGCATTTGCATTTAACCTGCGAGGTGTTTGTTCATATTTCTATGTGTACCATTGCCTGTATAGTTGGCATTGAATATGTGGAAAGGGTATGCACTGACCCAAGGTTAACGTATTTTGCACACACTTCTTCCATAGTCTACTTTGAAAATAGTGTGTCAGCAGATGATGCTCCTTTTCAAGAAGTGTCACAATCCTGCTACCAAGTAACAAAGGAAATATTTGAAGATTACTTGCATTTAGTCAGATTAGCTATATTTGGGTTCATTCTTGACATGTATTGTCTTTAGCTGGAGCCAGCTGGCTCCTCAGAACTGCAAGTGAAAGTTGCAGTCAGTCAATCATCAAATCCTTCTAAGTTCATTGGCACATGCTATCAAATGATATAACTGAACAGAAAGAGCCAAGATTCAGATTTCCTTTATGTAGATACAACTCCACTGACGATACCCCATTGAGTTGTACAGGTGCAGTGGGAGCAGAATTTGGGGGTCTAGCAGCGTTCCAACAGTTTGCTATATAGGATTGCCAGTTTATATCTCTCTTTTTGCTAGAACTTTGTAAATGCAATGCTGCTTAACACTAAGGATGTTCTTGAGTACCAAGTAGTTTTTATAGCATTATTGCTGCATGCTTTGAAATATCCTTCTTTTGGAGTGTGAAGACTTGCCTATTTCTATTGACGTTATCATGGGGAATTTGTCATGTATATTTTTACTGTACAGTAGTTAGCAGAAACAGCTGAATAATGTAGCCTTCTAGCATAGAGTTTCCACAGTAAAGAAACGTGGTAATACACGTCTAGACAGTGGCTCATAATTCTACAAATTATGATTATACTGTCCAATCTGTTTGTTTATCTTAAATGTTCACTTACCATAAGTGAAATAGAAAAACACCTTCACAAAATATGCACAAAAATAGACAAAGCTTCAAAGTGTCTTAAATTTCCATCAATATTTAGTGTATTTGCTGTTTGATTTTTTGCTAAATGCGATGGACAAAACTGCAGTTTGTCATTTTATTTCTTATTACTATTCAAGAATGACACTAGCACTTGGCCAGTAAGACTTCATGGCATTTCTTGTAATGAGTTAGAGCGACAACAGTACCCTGCGAGGTGAAATGATGCAGAAGCACCTATAAAATATTCATAACCCAGTTATACATTTTTAAAAGCCAGATAGTAATTCAAAGGGCTTTCTTCTTTTTCCTGTGGTCTCAGACTTTGAAAGAAAGCAGTAGCTGCAAAGATAAATTAAAATCAAAATATGATTAAATGATGAATGAGCCACACTATGTTCAAATAATGCAAAGGATCTCATTTAAACCCATAACACCAAAGGAAAACTTTAAAGCCACAGCTCCTTCTGGTGCTAAAACCCCATTCTGCCTAAGTATTGTAGCACACTTGATAGAAACAATCTGTTTGGGGACACTCACAGTATCTAAGTGTGGAGGCTCAGTTTAATAAAACGCTTTGTTATTTAAACACAATGGGCCTAGCGTTGCTTTCATTTATGCCAGTATAATTAATTTAGCTGCACTGAAATCAGTGGTAAAACCAGTGTGAGATCAGAATTGGGCTCATAAGATGATTTTTCTTTCTGTTATCTACATGCACCCATATTGACTTTGGTGGTGTTTGGTGGTGTAAGATAGGACCCAATCGTACAACCACTTACAAGTATAAGTAGTCTCATTACCTTAAATAGGACTACCCAAGGTAACAAACACTGTGTCTAATAGTGAGTGTTTTCAGGATCAAGCCCTAAGTACACAGACTGATAAAGCCTGATCTTCTAATACCCTAATTTCACCCTTGTGTAACACCATTTAAATCAATGGCATTACATTGGTTAAAACCATTTTGTCAGTGTGGAGAATCAGGCCCAGTCATGGTAGCAGGAATGCAGCCGTTGATATCCTTTCAAAAAAAGCCGGCTTTGGGAACCTCAGATCCCAGACAAGTCATTTACTTTCTAGAGAAGGTTTCTCTCAGATTAAGCCTATCATGCACTAATGAAACCTTAAAGAGGATCTCCACAGGCACTCTCAGTATATAAATGGTTACCCCATTTGACCCAAGCAGTCTTGTGGGGTTGTTTCCATTAGGAGGAGAAATTTAATGCTAGAGTTAGGTATCTCTTTGATGCAATCCTGTTTGTTTACAGAAAAAATGACTATGAAGTTCAGATTCCCTGCACACAGGAATCAAAGATCAGGAGACAGTTTCTCTGCTCACAGTTCCAAACCCCTTTCCAACCAGCACTCTACCCAAAAGTGCTCTCTCATATCTTTCTCACAATGTCACATGACAAGCACTTCTCAGACTGTCTCTGATGCTGTCTTCTTTGGCTTTGGTGTTTCTGCTCCTCTCTCTGACACACAGCTGTCTCATACAGTAGCCATCTCCCTGCCTTTGCATTCAGCCCTCAGTGAAACTCTTCTGCCCACACAGCTCAGATTTCTGACCAGTTGTGTGTGTGTGTTACATTTATCCAGAATGAGGGGCAGCTATTGCCCCACCAGTGAGGTATCTCTCCGCTCCCAGCATAATACAATGTACATGTGCATGTTCTTGCTCTCTTTGTGTCTCTGTGTACGGTGTCCACGTTCTACCACAAAGTTGATAGAAATCCCATTCCTGCAAAATTCTGACACACTCATTGATAGATACAGCTACATAAAAATGATAGAAAAAGTAAGCAGTTAAGTTACCTAGGCAACAATATCATATCCTAATTGTATAAGCTAAATCTTAATTAAGTCTTTTTTTCCTTGCTGCAGATACTCAAGGACAAATAAACAAAATCTTTCAGGATTATCTCCCGGGTTCTCCAGACCTTCCTAGTCAAAATAAACCTGTTGAACCTACAAAAGCCTGGAAACATGCACCACCTCCTCACATCTTGCCTCCTGGTCTGGAATACCTGAGCCAGGTCCTGTTGTCTCTAAACTTTAATAGCATTTTGTTTCCTCAATAGCTTATTTTTGTGTTGAAATGAAACAAAACTTTGAAATTAATTTAGACTTGCATGAAGGACAGGATGATTACTTCTGCCTTCGCTTTCATTCCTCCATGACTCAATAAAGTGGGTCTCTTTCCCATCCCCTTGTCATGCCTTACCTCTCTTTTCTTTTCCCCAATCTCCCTCCAGCTCATTAGGAGCTCGGGCCCACTCCCGTGGAAATATGGAGCCCACATTTTGAGGAGCATGAAGGTCTTTTAGCCAGATGACTTCTGCCCATAGTTGTACTTCTCCCAGGGCCATAGGTATCCCTGTATCATAGCATCTTAGATGGCCACCTATACAGACTGTATCCAAAGCCATCCTTGCCTCTAGCAAATTGTGGTTTGTAAAATGATTGGTATAATAGACTTCAATGAATTGTTTTTTATCTTTTAAGCTTCATAACCAAGAGGCAACTTCAAACTAAATAGTCTATATGACAAAAAAATTCTCAGCTGTGTTCCCATGAACACTTGAAACTATTCAGAATGAAAACATTTTAAAGTCTGATCACCTTGCCACATATGCTGTTGAGTCCTGTCTGCACTTCACTTAAGGCCTGCTTTTGCCACCATTATTCAAACTGTGTAGTACTTTACTTCACAGTTACTCCCACTGATCAGCATGTGGGAGCGGGAAAGAACCAGGCCCTCTGTTTTGACACTGAAACTTGTCTGATAATTTAGAATGTGTAGCTCTGATTCTCATGCACTAGAGAGATGTTGAGTTTGGCTCCCAACATTCTAACAGGTCTGAGGAATGTTTCAATCCATAAAGGCTTTAACTGAAATAAATACATGAGAATATTTCTATCCACATTAGGATTTGATAGAAAAAATGATGTATTTTACATTTGCAGCCTAAATTACCATGTAGTGTCTATTTGTTACTGAAAACACTGTCAGTATTAGATAGCTAATGAAACTGGGCACTTAAAGGGAATAGTAATTGTTTCTCACCCCATTCAGAAACTGTTCTTTACTTTAGAGCCGTAATGGTGAGTCCATGGTACACATGCCTGAAATGACATACACTGCCAATTCCATGAGCATTAGTTCAGGGATGGTGAAGCAAGCAGTTTCAGTCGAGGACTGAAAGTGATGGTAATAATAAATACTTAGCATATTACGTGTTTAAATTTCTGTACAAACATTAACTAATTATTCCTCAACTTACCCAGTGAGGTAAGACAGTAAATTATATGATCCCCATTTTAAAGAAATTTTCAATCTGACACATGGCCAAATGGCAAATCACTGTTAGAACCATTATTAGAGCTCTGAGCTTCCTGGACTTCATGCCCAGGCTTAGTCCAATAATCAGGCTGCTTCTCTGAGTGATGTAACCCATCATGGCCTCCTCAGATAATGGGTATATCACCTCTCTGATTATCCTTAAGTTTCTCCCCAGTCTAGAGAAATAAAAGAGAAGACCTTCTCTACCTCTCTGGAACAATTGTGCACCTGCCACTGAACAACTGTAGGTTTTCTATTAGCCACTTTCACTGTACATTTGGAAGCATTTGATCAGATCTGATGTTCTAAGGCAGAACCCTTAGATCCAAGTGTGCTGAAGGTGTGCAGGAGTTTTAAGGAGTCATCATTTAGGTTTGATTTCACCAGTATTAGGTCCAGCTATAAATCAATTTTGCTTTTGAGAGCATCTCAAAGCTTGTTTCTTTAAATCTTCAAATCTGTTCCAGTAGCAGAAAATTAAATGAAGTAGTTGCTTCTATTAAAGGATAGCAAAGAAATACCTATGAACTTTTGTTCTGTTAAATTAAGGATCCCTGCTCCCCAGAACACTTGCTTGCCATTGAAGAGAATCAAACTGAACCCAGTGACTGAAATGAGAGGTTCTAGAATGACCCCCAGATCCTCTACAATCTTCATTGCATTCCTTACCTGTGGTGTTGTGGTCATGGAAAGAGGCTGGCAGACTTTTACCCAGTGCAACCTTTCCCATTCAGGGGAACTGCTGAGGAGCTGCTGCCTCCAAAATCCTTGTAGTCTTCTATTCAGACATACCTCTGTTCTAGTGGTTGGTTTCTTCTAGCCCTTTACTTTCCTACAATGTAGTTGGGTAATCACCTTTTGGGAGTAGCTCAATTCCCTGCGTTGATACCATGGGATCTATTTACAGTTCCACTTAAACCACCTGATTTGCAGATTAGAATTACTGGAGTTTACACACCAGTGTTCTGCAGTGATTTGAAATCCCTGCTTCCCCCACTTCTTGCAAGATTAACAACACAAACATGATAAGTGGTGGAGCAAGTGGAATTCAGAATGTGACCTAATTGTATGTGGGAAAGCTATCTTCCCAGAAGAAGAGGCCCTCACGTCTGCAGAGAGAGTAGGCCCTATATCTTTTCCTGATGTACAAGATTTGTAGCAAGCTGACATTTTCTCCTGGGATGTAGGCAAAATATAGAGTTCACTGGGGGTATTGAATAGAGATAGCTATTCAGCATATTGAGTGGGGGGTGGTTTGTGGGAGAAGGTAGAAGGCTACAGGGGCAGGTTTGGCATGCCAGTTTCTCAGGTTATTTGGATAAACTTCAGAGAGGTGTCCAAACTTTGCATTGCTTATTCTGACCATGCTGAGTCTTTCAGATGTCTCCTCTCATCAGTGTATTTATCACCTGCTTCTATTATTTTGTACAATGAGGACATGTGACTTCACAAAGCAATGTAGACTATGAACTATGCTGGATCACTTCAGGTTACAGTCTGTCCAATGGCATATTTGTGGTGAGGGCAACCCAGCCTTCGTTAAGGGAGTCCCAAATCCCAAGCCATGTGCCTGAGAAAACCCCACTTGCGTCTGACTAGGCCCCAGTCCTTTGGTTCACTCCCAGTCCTTCTGAGGATCAGGAACTAACTCCAGAAACAAGTGCTGCATTCAGCAACGAAATCATACTTTTCTATGAGCAGAGACAAATCCTCCCTCAGTTCCAGGAACAATTCAGTGAAGACCCTTTGAGGAGTCACACATATTAGCTATTGTACATTGTATGCAATCCTGATGCTGAGCTATACAAGCTAATAGTCTATAAGGCAATTGAATCCAAACAGCACCCAGTTCCAGCATCTCAGACCCAAACAGGGCATCTTCTGCCCCATATGCTGGTCACTGGTGCTTGGCCTGGTGCGAGCTCAGAATGCTGAGCCCTGATTTCTTCTGCATTGCTTGTCATCCATCCCCATGGTGGTCATACTAATCAGAACTCCTCTGCCATGCCCCAGGCTTACTCCCTCGGCTGATCCCCTAGCTCTAGGTTTGGCCTGCAATTGGGCCTGCTCCTTCCAGCTTCAGCAGCAGTAGCAGCAAATGGCAATGTGTGCTCAGGCCTCTGTATGTGTTCCTTTTCTAGCCACAGCCCTGTGCCAGCCAATCTCCTGGCCTTGCTCTGAAGTGACATTCCTCCCCTCCAATCTGCTTTGTATGTCTAAAGTAGAGGTTTAGTCTGCAAGCAGACCCTCTGAAATCAATGGGAGTAGCTGAGGAGTAATCTATTGCTCTGCATGCATAAGGGAAATCAGAAATTGTTTCTAAGATGTAGGGAGAAAATATTTTCCTTTTTCTTTGCCAGCTTTTCACCTTAGTGGATAGGTATCATGCTTTCTATATCCATATATTTAAAAGATTCAGGAAAAGTGGATCTCTTAGTTTTCTACAGTTACAGATTGCATGCAGGTCATTATTGTCTCTCATATCATAGCCTTATACATTGTTCACAATCCCAAAAAGTGAATGCGGGGACCATTCCTGGACCTGTATTTGAAGTCAAAGAGAGCTTTGCCTATGGAGATATACAAGGCAGTACCCAAAAGAGAAGAAAATGTAGGAAAAGTGTCTTGCAAACATTTATACCTTCAAAAGTTTGGCCAGCGCCTTTATAGCCTAGATATGTTTAGGTTATACACCCAAAACTGCCGTCTTTAAAAAAAAAAAGATAATTAACTTGCTAAAAGGACTAAGGTCAAGCGGGTTGCATAGACCCTTATAAATCTTAGGGGCTAAGATACTTTGAGATGCAATGTGAGAAATCTCTTTGCTCCTTGAGTGCACTGATAAATGATGGATCAGGACAGTCTTCTTACAGAATCCAATAAAACAAAAAAGCACATAACATGTTGCTATCCTTACTGCACTCTCCAAACTTAGACATATTTTTATTTGATAATAAATTAATTTATACAGTTAAAATAGCTCCAGGCTTTACCAGCTTGACAGTTTTGTCCTGTGAAAGACCAAATTGGGATATAAAACCAATATTCAAACATTGGGACATTTCTGCATAAAGTATTTGTCCCTTTTATTGGTAGCAAAGCTCTACACTAAACTCCCTTCAGATGCAAGAGGTTCTTGTTATGCCTCCTGAAGTTTAAGCTGCAAGTAGCATAAGTGCTTAGGAAAATGTTTGTAAGTACAAAGGACTTATTCAGAAATCACTTATATGCATGTGTACTTCAGAGGTAAGTGTCAGGCCATGGAGGCTGTCTCACCAGCTTCTGTTTGCAAACTGGATGAGCTGCAAGAGTGACTTGAACCAAATGGCTGCAAGTTGTTCTGAATATGTATTACACCAGGTCTGCCAAATATAGAAGTGATAGATAGTGGAGGGCTGTGGCACAATGATCCCATAGGGTCATCACATATTTCCTTTCTTCAGCCATGAGTAATGAGACTATCTTGTACCAAATATTTGATGGCCATCAGACATTTAAGGAAAAGAAATGACCAAAGGCTAAATTGTTCATATGTTGACCTATGGTCAAAATGACATTGAAGTGATAGCTAGTCAGTTTTACAGCATTAGCACCCCCTTCTTAAAACAGAAAGAATACCTGAGAGACAATAATAAACCATTACAGCAGCTCTGGGGAAGAGATTCAGCAATACATGGGAAACACTCACTGTTTGTCACTGGTTTATAATCTATCAATCATATGATAATTTCTCCTTGGTCAACAAGTTGGCTTTATAGAGAAGTCTATTTTTTTATTTTTATTTTGTGTGTGTACTCATTTTGGCATCCTAGAATGCCATGTGATGGCCACCATTTCTGAATCTCCAGATTTTTTACAGCATAACCTTAAACCCAGTGTGCACTGGCCATGCCTCCTCCCTGTCCCCAACAAGTCCTTGTCTGTTCCTTCTGGGGACTCACTCATATCAGGTGAATCTTCAACAGGGGAGAAAGGGCCAGATACCTTTGCATAATCAGAACAGCACAAAGGAGACCGAGTGGGAGAGAGAATCAGATTCTGCGTCTTTTGTACATTTCCCTCAATTACACCTGACCTCATCATGATCCCAGTGGAACTCATTTGGTCATTGCTTTCAAATGGATGTATACAATACATAACCATCACATCTTATATCATGTCCCTCCAGCTGGCATGGAGTAGAACCAGCTCCTTCTTGAGCAGGTCAGGACCCTTCTGAATTAACAAGAAGATGACTACAGTGACACAGAATGCTCCCCAGTGTATCCAGCCCCCGCTGGCCTGGGAGCAAAGAAATGTAGGTCTGCTGGAACATATGGTATCCTGGACAGGTATATGAGAAGAATTACTGTGGCAACTCCAAATCTCTTTAAAATTATTAGAGTGCCACCATGTACTTTCATTTATTTTCATTTTTTTAACAGCTGGACCAGATAATCATTCACCAGCAGGTGGAGCTTCTTGAAGGTACCATACGTATGCGTTTCATCTTTACAATGCCAGCATGTAGATATCTTTGTAAATGTAACATAAATTATGCCCTAACCTTCGCCCATTGAAGTCCATGAAAACACTTCCATTGACCTTAATGGGCATTTGATCAGGTCCTCCATGCACTGATAGGTTTAATGCTGAAAGTTCATTTTGTTTACGGCAGTTCTATCACAATAAAAGGAGAGGAAAAAGTCAATAATGAGTCTCATAACATTTCTTCATCAGTGAGTTCAGTGGGATTGCTCACATGCCTAAAGCTACTTATGTTTATAAGTGTTTCCGGAATTGGGAAGATGTTGTTTTCTTTAGCAATTATTCACACGCTACTAAATAATGTAATGCTCTCTGATCAGATGAGTTAAAGAAACAAAAGGTATCTGTAAGTGATACAATAATGCATAATAGTTTGCATGTATATAGTGCTTTAATATTGCAAAGCACTCTAGAAACATTACCTGCTGCAAATGAAATGTCATGTTTCTTGATATTTTTTTTCACTGCAGATTGGCACAGGGCCTGATCCAGCTTCATTGATATGAATAGGAGTTTTGCCACTGAGCAAAACTGAACAGGATCATGTCATTACTTTTCACCTATTTAAGTTAGTGATGAGTCCAAACCACAACTCTGGATATCAAGTCGGGATCCAGATCTGAACTTCATAAATCTATAGTGGGTCAAACCAAAGTCTGATCTGAGCACTCTCTAATTTGGTTTAAAATATAGATCTGAATTTTTCCAGATTCCATGGTGTTCAGATTCAATCCAATGTCTGATTATTGTTGCATAATTGCATAGTTTCATTACTTTAAAGGAATTTTAAATGGTCCCTGTTCCAAAGAGCTTATAATATATATTAGCGAGAGAGGTTGGACTGTGAACTTGGATCCAAACTTGGATCAGGTGTTTTTGGACCACCTTTAATTCTAATTTATTATACTAAATAACTTGCTAACTGTTTTACTTTATTAGTCATACTTGGTACGGAGACCCGCAGCAAATATGAGATAAAAAACCGTTTGGGACAAAGAGTTTACTTTGCAATGGAAGAAAATGGTTGCTTTGATCGTAAGTTCTGTTCACCTATACGGTCTTTCACCATAAGGATAACTGATAACACCGGTCAAGAGGTGATCACAGTGAATAGACCCTTGAGATGTAACAGCTGCTGGTTCCCTTGCTACATGCAAGAGGTCAGTGAATAATAACAACAGCACCTTTCATTTATGTATCTCAAATTATTTACCAATTTTCAATAAGGCTCACGAGACCAGATGGGTAAAATGCACAGAAAGGACTATGTGTTTTGTCCATCTTCATGGGGTGAGACATAGAGACCAGAAGGGTGGGCTCTGGCTGCTAGACCATATTTCCTCTTTCTAAAAAAAAATCCGTAAAAATAATAATTGTCAAGACACATAACTGGAAAGGAACATACTTCCTTCATGATGAATGAAACCATTAATTACAGGTAGGCAAGGAAGGTCTGACTTTGGCCTTCATTCAGATTACGGGTATGATGCAGACTAGCTGCATGTCTAGTTCCATAGGGTTTTTGCCATGTTAACACAGAGGGTTTGAGTGATATGACTGGAATCTGAAAGTCCAGACCCACAAATGATTAGAGAACTTGCATTCAGCACTGCTCAGATAAGCCCCAATGCTGCAATGAAGCCCATGTAGAGGTCAGTCCTCAGTGCAAGATTGGGGCGATAATTTATACAACTGGAGCACGTGAGTCCTGCTTTATTTGACATGTATGTGTTTTTGCAGTATGTTTCAGTTTCCACTCTTCAGTTTGATGCAAGACATTGTATCATAATTTCAAGCTGAATAGTAAAAGTACTGTCGTTTCTTACAGATTACATAACACTCATTTTGGTATTTATGAGAAATTAAACATCATGGGTGAAATCAGTGGCAATAAGTGACTTCAAATAGGGTCAAGATTTCACCCCTGTTTGGTGGCAGTGTGCTTGCTATTTGCTATGTTTAGTACAAAAATGTCCACATTAGTCCTGATAAGTCCTATGAGCTACATGTGCCTAATATCGCCCCTATACAGTTTCATAGTATCCACAGTCTTGTGTTAAGAGCATGCTCTGCTGTTAGAAATACTCTCTCTGAATGAGAACACAGATACTTTCTTTCTGTATTGCACCACTCATTACTATAAAGCACTCTCACTCTGAGTTGCATTGACTATGAAAGGTGAATATTCTAGTCCAGCATGTTGATTTCATCATTTTATTCAAGTGCTTTATATACTCGCCCATGTACATTCCAAGTGGTGCAGTACGATTTGTATTAGAGATGCAGATCAATGTACAGAAGTATCAACATCTCTATATAAATAGACCTTTGTATATTAACTAATTACTGTAAATACATTAGCTTCTGTATACATATGGTTTTTCATGTTATACAAAACTTTATTCTTTAGTAGCAGTTATTAAGTTAATATTATTCAATGTATTTAAAACTATCCTATGAAGTCTTGTCATACTATGTTTATGGTTCAAAATTTTGCATTTAAAAATAGGGCAATTAATCTTGTAAATTTACGTGTTATTATTGTATGCCACTTTTGTCTGATAGTTAGAAGTTCAGTCCCCTCCCGGTACAATAGTCGGCTACGTTGTCCAGAACTGGGACCCTCTGCTGCCTAAATTCACTATACTGAATGAGAGCAAAGAAGATGTATTGAAAATAATTGGCCCCTATGCAACGTGCAGCTGTTTTGGAGATGTAGACTTTGAGGTATGTTTCATACACTAGAGAATACCCATTGTTTAAAGGTAATATAATATTTTGACTGACACATTCAGTGAAGGTTTTAAACTTAAAAAAACAATGAACTACCATAATTTAGGAACCAGATGTCAACGGTGCAGAGAGTGACAAATCAAAGTTCATGGTTCTAATCTCAGACCTTAGGCTGGAAGTTGAGTCTACCACATGAATTTCCTGGATAGGAGTGACAATAGATGCAGGAAAAAACATTGTCCTGGTGTGAAATCCTGGAACCCCCTGAAATCAATGAGAGTGTTGCCATCTACTTCAATAGGGCCAGGATCACATCCAAGACTCCTTCAGTAAAGTTCTGATCCAAAGTCTACTAAATTCAGTGGGACTCTTTCCACTGACTTCAATACCCTTAGACCAATTCTAAGAGTAGTGTTGCCATTGAACAGCCACTTAACTGCTGCTTCTACAGGACAGTTAAGTCTGAGAAGCAGTAGATTTGGGGGGGCGGGAGGAGGAGGGAGAGCAAAACATGCACAAAATTTGCTATGACAATCACAGTCTTGCTAAAACAGAGAGAAAGTGAGAAATCCAAAGCACTAAGGGATCATAGCAATCGTCTACACTGGCTTCCTCCTAAACAGACACACCAAAAGACTTCAGTGAGATTCTGCCCACAAATGTAGATTTAATTTAGCAAATAACTGGAATGACCAAGGAATCAGGGACACATTTGTCTGAGCTAGAAGTTAGGGGTGCATTGGATGCTACTACTATTTAGAGCTAGTCAAAGAAGGGGAGAACTTCCACAATTTCTTTTCCCTGGTTTCCAACGAGCCCCAGTGCTGCTGCTGATCCCAAATCTCTAGAAGAGTATCTTTCTGGTGTGTCCTTTCACATGGATATAGATAAGCATGATGCCACAGAGCATATAAGTGATGATAAACATGAGGGTACTGATTGGTGGCAATCCAAAGTCAGTGGCTAGGGGAAGCTAAGAGATAGAAGGGAATCCATCTAATTTCTCAGTATTCTGTGACTCAGTATTCTGTGTCAGAGCAAGTAACTCCCTTGGTCAGAGGCAGCTGCATCAGCATCATATGCATCTAAGCTATTGTTGCGGAATCTACTGTAGCTGCTGTCGCTGTCTCTTTTCTTTCCATTGTTTCATCATCGCTGATGACACAATACTTCTCAGCAGCAGTATGGCTGAAGCAAGAGTCCTCTGACTCTTTGTGTACAGAGAATAGGCCAGATTCAATGATCTTGTGAGAATCTGCTTGAGGATAGGGGTATGAAAAGGAGGTGTCTAACTGCTGCCACTGTATCTGATGCCGTGGCAGCAGCTGCTCTGTGTGTGTGCAATTGCACATATATTTTTCAGTTGAATTTTGTCTGCTTTTCTGAGTTTGCGGGTGCTGCAGGTCTTTGTTGTGGTGTGATGCTGCAGATGCGTGTCCAGCATGCCTGCCGTAAACTGAGTTTCAGCACATGCCCCGCAAAGCTATTGTTTAATGCCTGTAAGGGACTGTGGAAGACTTTGTTATGGCCTAGGTAGGGAAATTCCGCTTTCTCGAGGCCGCCCGGTCACTGTAGGACACGGAGAACCAACTTCAACCGGTTTTAGGCCAGTTTTGTCTGCCTTGCATGGCCTGTTGCCGGTAGCGGAAAGCCCCTTTAGGGAAGTACCTAATTATATATTCAGGAGCTGTTTCTGTGTACTGCTAATTATGGCTCGCTGATTGCCCCTTCTTCGGACTCCGTCCCAGACAAAGCTCCGGTGTGCTGGGTTCCCCGCCTCCGTGACAGCAACTCTTGGAGTCCCCATTGCAGGTGTGTCACTAACCCTTCAATAAAGCCAATAACTCGCTGCTTAGCTGCGTGTGGGTCTCGTTTTCTCAGAGTACCTCTGCCGGCCTGCGGTGCTTCGAACACCTTGGCCCAGAACAATGCCAAACTGACAAAAATGCTGAGATTCTCATTTGCTGACCATGGGAAAAGACTGGGGAAATAATTTTCCTCCAAACAAAATGAAAGACGAGTCTAAGCCACAAAATTTGAATTCACATCCAACATCTGTGGATGTTCAGATGTGCTGTTTTGCTTTGGCCCCAGCTCTAATCACATGAGGACCTTTGCCAGTTGTCAATTCACTGGAACAATGGAACCAGTCCCATTGAAGTTAATGGGGATTTTGCCCCTGATTACCAATGGGAATGAACCAGCCTGATTGTGAATGGCCATTGGGACAGCTTTTGGGAGGGTCACTTAGATGGAGAGAAGGGTATCCATTCTGCAGAGGCAACATTAGGGTGACATACTGTGCATGTGCAGTTTCCACAATTAGAAACTGCACAATAGTTCATTGTACAAATGGAGGGAGGTGAGATGACGGGAATGGTTGACCAGCTCCTCTCTCTGTCCTCGGGGATCGTAATCTCAGACAGTGGGGTGCATGTGCTACATGGTGATGATGTTGGCCACATAGCCTGCTTTTCACATGTCAGAAGCTGATCTTTTTCTGGAATTCCATTTAAAACACCTCAGACAGAACATGAATCCTCTCTCTGTGACAACTTGAAATTTCATAGGCAGGAAGGGTCAAGGAAAGGTGGCTTTATTCTTTGTTTGTTTATATTGTGATCGCACCATGAGGTCTTCAAAGGCTAGGGGCCATTGTGCTAGGCACTGTGCCAACATAGAAGATGACAGTTCCTGCTCCAAAGAGCTTAAAGTCTGAAAGATAAGACATAACTGCATGAGACAAGCAAGTCAAGGTGAAGATGGGAGAGATGGGGTAACAATAAAAACAATAGGATGGTGTGTTCCATATTCTCCTGCTTTGAATAACCCTTTCCCGGTTAGAGGGAGAGGAGGCTTCCCAAAATTTCCCAGAAAAGTGAAATGCAGAGGCTGTAAAACTGTTCAAAATAGCAAACATTTTTGTCTTTTGATTATAATAATACATTCTAGTAAGCATGGACATAAATGGTTCTGGCTATCTACATGGGGGTGAATTTCATTTCACCTTCTGGGCCAAATCCTCAGCTTGTGTAAACTGGAAAAGCACCAAAGGAATAAATTAACTATTCTGATTTACACCAACTGAGATCTGGCCCACTAAGAATAGAATACTTTCTTGTCTGTTACAGGGCACTGATCATAACAAATCCAATAAATTATTGTTTGGGGGGAGGGATTGGAGGGGGCTATATGTTAGTGTGGCTATTTTTTAATCCCTCTTTTCTCTTGTGTAGGTAAAAACTGTTAATGAAATGTCAACAATTGGCAAGATTTCCAAATATTGGTCTGGGTTTGTAAACAATGTCTTTACCAATGCTGCTAACTTTGGGATCCAGGTTCCTGTAGATCTTGACGTGAAAATCAAGGCTATAATGATTGGAGCTTGTTTCCTCATAGTAAGTACACAAAACCAGAGGGAAAAATAAAGTGGAGCCAAAGCACCCACTATCTGTGGTTAGACCTCAGTCCTACAACAGGATCCACATGACTGTACCCTTGGGTATGTTCAGATCCTGTTGCAGCATTGGGACCCAACCTAAAATTGTCAATACCTAAAAGATTATTAGCTGGGAAACCTGTAACTTTAATGGGTTTTTCTTTTATCATTTAGTGATATGGAATTCTTTAAAATTTGCTTCATTTTATCATAAAGTTACACCACATCCAACATCCTGTCAGTTTAAATGATATTTTCATGTGTTGTCCTGTGTCACAAAAGATGCGATCAAATATTTTAATCCTCGCAGAACCTAACAGAACCCTGGATAATCTGACGCAATGAGAAAAACTGTTGAATTTGGACGTGTTACCATGTCTGTGAACCAAGAGAGAAGAGCAATTACACTGATTCTTTATTGGTGTTTCAAGATCCTGGGCCTGATTTGCCCCTTGCAGGATATAAATAACTCCCATTGATTTCACAGGAGAGTTTTATGTGTATCCTGAGGAGCAGAATAGGGCTCTGAAAAGGTGAATCCTTTGCTTTATCCACAGCTCCTCATTTTATTCAGCATTATCTATATTTCTGCCCAATGGGTCAAAATGTTTTCCCTAGCCCATATTCTTCTTCCTTTACAGATTCTATTGTAAAACATTGAATCTTAAAACATTCAAGAACAGGGGCAAAGAGGGGTGTGCATAGATTTGAGGTGCACAACTATCATGACAAATCAATATCTTTGCCTGTTCTTGCTTGATTTATTTCTCCCTATGCATTATATCTAATACGCTACACATCGGTACAGCAATGATGGCCACATAATGATTTCAAAAAACTGTTTAGATTCTCTGATCAGAGGAGACAGGAAGACAGGCAGAGCTATTTTAACTGTACTTCTGAAAAGAACCCCACAACAGTGATTCTGATATTTTATTCTAGTTTTTGGCTGCAACAAGCTTAGAAATACAATTGTCATGACACTTAAGATTTTCAGATTTCCTCCTACATAACTCTCACTGCTCAGTGGCAGAGAGTCGTTGCCTAATATACTTATTTTATTTAATAAGAGCCTTCAAATCTGGCTTTTGATATTAATTGTTGCCTTTTTGTATCTTCCTTAACATTCACAGTTCATTTATTTGTAGGATTTAATGTTCTTTGAGAACTCATTGGATGGATTATAACAAGCAAGATGACAGAAACAATAAAATATGCAGAATGTATTTCAGTAAGTAAGAGAGAATATAAATTGATCTTCTTGCTTTCAAGGCTTCTACATTCGATACTTTCTGATTCTTTTTCATTTTCTTCTACAAATCCCTTGAGCTTTGGACATTATATTTTACTGCACAAATCTTTTTTTTTTTTTGAGGAAAAAATTAATGATAGTATTTATTAAAATATTTCTTCTGTAAATAATAATTTCCCCATTTGAATTGTATGTATTGCTAAACATACAGGTTTCGACAGAGCAATGTTGCTTTGGAAACTGCTTCTCTCTTTTTTCTCTTTTGATGTTTTTTCATGTAAAGCATGAAAGATTAGAACTAAGCCTTGCAGCATCACTGATGAAAAGTCTATGTTTAGAGAACCCTTTGAAGTTTTGCAAGTGCTGGTGCTAGTTATTAACCAAATAAGGTGGGACTTCCCATTATTTCTGAAGTAGCTTTCAGATCTACTATTAACTAAGAGTAACAAACTGAATATAACAGTAACAATGTACTGGCATTGCCCAATGGGGAAGTTTAAAATGGGTATATATTTGTGTGGGGACAGTGGAGGTGATGAAACTACCTGCTTGGGTTTAAGAGATATTTAACACAGCTAAGGTTTATAAATCACGTGATTTTATGGCAAAGATTTTTCAAAAATAGGAGCCCAAGTTAAATTTCTGAGTCCATAATTAGTCACATAAATAAGTGACCTATTTTCAAAAGTTTGGAGCATCCAGAGTTTTCACTGAAGTCAGGCAAGCATTTTTGAGTTTCTTGGCCACATTACAGAGAGAAAAAGAGAAAGAGAGAGAGAGAGGAAAAAAACTAACACTTTCAAGTATGTAATGCCTTAAAGTGCTCAAGAAGTTTACTCCCATCTTGTTGTTGTGGAAAAGATCCTTTGCTTTAATCCACATCATACCCTAATACAGTTAACTTTTTAATTCAAGCCTGCACTTTTCTGAAGCCAACATAAACCAAACACCAACCCAACTGAACCAAAGCGTCAGCCTTTTATACCTCCCCTTTGGGAACAGGCAGACTCAGATATTTTCTGTGATATTACTGTGCAATAGAAGCTTTCTAGCTGCACTTCAGACACAGATGTAAATTGCAATATAGAAATATACCTTAAGGCTGGAGGTAGTCACATCCTGCTAAGAGTGTTCACTACCACTTTTTCAGATTTTTAATGGCTGTTCATTTGTACCATATTCATATACATTACTACTTACTGTTCATGAACATTTACATTCTCAGGCTTTTGCTTATACAATTGTTCGGGGAATGTCCAGCCTTGCTGAAATACCCATATTTATATATGGGTATATTTATTTATATGTGATCAAGAGTAGTTGTGCAAAAAAAAACCAAACATTCACTGAACATTATTTGCTGTTTGTCAATTGTTATACATAATACTCTTGCTTAAAAATTTCAGTGATGCATTCAGGTGACAGAAACAATGCCATGTAATATAGGTGACAAATCACACACAAAGAATAACAGAGTGCTCACTCTGAGTGAACCGTTTACAAAACATCCATTGGCTGAGATTTGTTTGCATGAAATGGGCAGTGAATGCTGGCAAATAGCTAACACATCTTTTAGATTATCTAGTAAGGTGACTAGTTTCACTACCAACCATTATACAAATAGTAAAACTATGTGCTTTATATGTTCGGTAGGTGGCAGCAACATTTCATCATTCAATATTTATTTTCCACAGAGCATGATCTTCACCAGAGACAGCTTCAACCTGCAATTGATTTCTAGCCTTTTGAAGAGAACAGTTTTACTTTGTTTGCTGTTTGATATTAAACCTTTGACACAAGATGTTGGGACTGTTTTACTGTTTGCAAGTTGCCACTGAACTCTCAGTAACTGGGGACGTTCTAATGGAAACTTGTAGCTGCTTGCCTTCACATCCATTAGGGAAAATTCAGCATACCATAGGGTGAGCTTTTCTGATCAAGCCTGGAAATACCCAGCCTGGCCCCTGACTATCAGTACTGATTCCGTAAATGGAGGGTATCCAGTTCAGATCGAGTCTGAGGGTCTGACTGGCAGGAAAGAGAAAAAGTACCTGCTCTATGTGCCGGCTCCCACATCTCCCACTCCTGCAGAAATCTGTTCATAGTTGCACAGTTTGGGAGCTCAGTCCTGAACTTTGCTTAGCACTCTGGCCCTGAAGCTTAGCTCTTAAACATCTGATTAATTTTAAGCATGTCAGAATTGAGGTTATTCATATGCTTAAAGTTCGGGATGTACATAAGTGTATCAAGGCCAGAGAGCTCAGCAACTTGCAGAATTGAGCCCTGAGCAACCAAGTGATTGAGAAGAGGAGCTACGCCAGCAGGAACTCATCAACTGATCCTGCAAAACCTTAATCAAGTGGACAGTCCTGGCTCACTGAGCAGTCCTATTGCCTTCATGAACACTGCTTATGTGAGATTCCTCACTTGATTGAAGGTTTAAAGATCAGGCTCAATCTGAGGGCGGGGGGAGTGCCACAGAAAAATGGGTAATGAGAAATAATCTTAGCATACCACAAGGTGGCATATTGTGAGAATATTACTGTTTTTTTAAACAGTTCAAATAGTAGGTTCATAGCTAGGGCCCTACCAAATTCACAGCCATGAAAAACACGACATGGACCATGAAATCTGATCTCCCGGAAACCAGGTCTCCCCCATAAAATCTGGCTAGCGTGGAGGGGGTGGGGTGGGTGCTCCTACCATACGCCAGGGTCCAGCTGCTAGTCCCAGCCAGGCTGGAAGGCGATGGGACTTCCTCTTCCTCTGCAGGGGCCACTCCTGGGGCCGGTTCAGACCCACCTCTGGGAACCGTCCCCAGCAGCAGGAAGCTCAGCGGCTGCTGGCTGGGAGCCCCGCTCTGAAAGTAGCGCTGCTGCCATAAACCGCATAGAAGTGAGGGTGGCCTGGCATGGTATTGCCACCCTCACTTGTGTAGCAGTGCACAAGTGAGGGTGACAATACCATGCCAGGCCACCCTCACTTCAGCACTGCTGCTGTCGGTGGCGCTGCCTTTATAGCTGGGTGCCTGGCCAGCAGCTGCTGCTCTGCGGCTTCCCCAGCTCTGACAGCAGCAGTGCCATCAGCTGCAGCTCAGAAGTAAGGGGGAAATACCATGACCCCCCTACCACAGCCTTGCAGATCTTCCCCATCACCCCCTTTTGGGTCAGGACCCGTGGTTCCAACACCCTGACATTTCAGATTTAAATATCTGAAACCATGAAATTTATTATTTAAAAAATCCTATGACTGTGAAATTGAGCAAAATGGACCGTGAATTTGGTAGGGCCCTAATCATAGCTCTATTGGTTAAAAGGTTGTAAACACTCTCCCTCACACACACACACACTTTATGTATAACACAGTGCATCCATCAATGTATCTGAACTTTTTGTCTCTCATCTATGGTATGTATTAGTTCCCAGAATTTAAACAACGGGAAATGCACTGAATGCTTATGTTTTCAAGACAGAATTATGGAAGGCTCTTCCTGATAGTAGTATCTGGCTTCCATATCTTTATTTGTTTAAAAAGGAAATTACTCTAAAGTTATTTTAGTTCCTGTTTAGTTTTACACAAGGTACACTGGCTATGTACCTTGTAGTTGCATTAAATTATTCTCACATTCCTAAATGGACTCTGCAGGTGACTACTGCTCCTTGCTTGTACCAACAAATGATCCTTGGAAATTGTGTTTCACTGTACTTTCAAATTAGCAAATATAGTGGAAATTCCATCTGCAGTATTGATTCCTGAATTTCTTTCTTCCATCATAGGATTTGCTCATGAGCCGCTGGCACAGCTATATGTAAAGAAAGAAAAAAATGAGGTGAATGATTACAATGATTATTATTTTGTTACTGCCATTTGATGCTTATCTGAGACATGAAGAATTACATTGACTTTGCAAACAGATATAAGAAAAACATTGCGTCAAATTTTGCACCAAGCAGCCTTGATAATTGTCCTTCTAAATGTTAACTGTACACAAGAATGAGGAAGTCAGCATGGGAAAAAATATCTGAATCCCTAGCATACATGACATAAAGCCTTCGCCCATTTATAGACAGAACTCAAACTGAAACTTTTGAAACATTTGGATAAGTTTCTTTCCCCCTGGGTTTAATCTAGAACAGTGGTTTTCAACCTGTAGTCCATGGACCGTTAGGGAGTCCACAGACTATGGCCAAGATTTCCAAAGGGGTCCATGCCTCCATTAAAATATTTTTAGGGGTCTGCAAATGAAAAAATGATTGAAAACCACTGATCCAGAACCAGATGTGCCACGGTGCTACATGAAAGGCTGGCTGTTCTACACTGCCAGTGGTTCTGTGCATAAACATTGAGGTTACTGGATACTTCTCCAAAGTTAATCAGTTCTTTGAAACTTTTGCCTGTTTCTACACTAGATTATTTTTTTCTGAAAGATTTCTACTAGTGCAGCAGCTGCTGATATTTTATCTATGGTGTCATCTAAGCCTGCTCAAATCAGGTCTCAGAACTTGGTTAATACACTAGAGGCCAGTCAGGTCTTGTCTATGCTGGCATTCCTGTCATTGCTATCAAGTATCAGAGGGGTAGCAGTGTTAGTCTGTATCCACAAAAACAAGGAGTCTGGTGGCACCTTAAAGACTAACTTCCCATGAAAAACGATCCCCGACTCTCACAGGCCTTGGGAGATAGGCCAATCCTAGCTTACAGACAGCCCCCTAACCTGAAGCAAATACCAGCAACTACACACCACACCACAAAAACACTAACCCAGGAGCAAATTCCTGCAACAACCCCGTTGCCTTCTCTGTCCCCCTATCTACTCTAGTAACACAATCATAGGACCCACCCACACCAGGTACACCATCAGGGGCTCATTCACCTGCACATCTACCCATGTGATATATGTCATCATGTGCCAGCAATGCCCCTCTGCCATGTACATTGGCCAAACGGGACAGTCTCTACGTAAAAGGATAAATGGACACAAATCAGACATCAGGAATGGTAACATACAAAAAGCAGTAGGAGAACACTTCAGTCTCCCTGGACACTCAATAATAGATTTAAAAGTGGCCATTCTTCAACAAAAAAACTTCAAAAACAGACTTCAAAGAGAAACTGCTGAGCTACAATTAATTTGCAAACTTAACACCATCAATTTGGGCTTGAACAGGGCCCGGGAGTGGTTGGCTCACTACAAAACCAATTTTCCCTCTTTTGGTACTGACACAGCCTCATCAATTATTGGGAGTAGACCACATCCACCCTGACCTAATTGGCCTTCAACATTGGTTCTCCACTTGTAAGTTAACTCCCTTTTCTTCATGTGCCAATATATATTTATGCCTGTTTCTGTAATTTTCACTCTATGCATCTGAAGAACTAGGCTTTTTACCCACAAAAGTTTTAAGGTGCACCGGACTCCTTGTTGCTTTTGTCACTGCTATGCCTAGCGGAGCTCCAAAAGTGTTAGGAATTATAGGGAGTTTTTCAGAAATAAGGCTAGTATAGACAAGGCCTTTGAGATTAGTGGTTGTGATCTAGAAATGATCTCAAATTTCATGATAAAAATAAACAAAAAGTGTAGATGTGACGTGACTTTAGATTATATAATTTTAAGGAAACAGCACTTTGTGAAAGCATAAGCATAATTTCTTTCATAGTAAAGTCCTGAAGCCCAATTCTCTCCCCCTGGATATGACTAACTCCTGTTTAAGTCAAACTGAAGCCTTATATTTTCATTGCAATGTGGACTATTTCACTTGTGATCAAGAAGAGTTACCCTGTGATCACTGGAAGAGGTGGTTATTGAGGAGAGGAGAGGGGTTTTGTGTTTCTTTGGGCCCCCCAAAAAAGGGGAGGAGTGGAGAGTAATGATGGGGAGTGACTGCAGAGCCAAGGGGTAATTGTGCTGATAAGAAAAGAGACAGGGCATGGAAATAGGGGTGCTTAAAAGTAGTTGTGAGGGACCAATTTGAAGTTGCCCTTAGTTCCCATGAATGCATTGTTATAGCTGCAGGGAGAGCATATTTCAAAACCCCATTTCAGGGGGGTCTATCCATACCATTCAAGATATTGCCTGGACTGCTCTCGGGAACGTAAAATCTGCTTAGCACTAAGAGAGCTGACTATAAATGTGGCAGAGAGGCAAAATGATTTCTAGTAACTAAAGTTTACAGGGCTCATGGACAAATATGTGCTCAGTGGAATGAAGAGTATTATGAACCTTACATACAGTATAAATTTATTTAGGGATGCCACAGTATTATGAAAACAGTGCCAGTAAATTTAAGCTATACTGCTCCATTAGATTTTGTCTGCTTTATGGGACATTATATTTTTTTAAAAGAAGTAGTTTTAATGGAAAATGAAGGTAAACTAAAAGCATCTGAACAGCACTGACACTATGTATTTAATTATTGCATGACATGTTTGATTATTTTCATGATGCACTTAGTATTGTAGATCATTCAAGAGTAAAAAAAAAAAATTGAACTCCCTTGCATGGAAAAGATGTGGAGGTCGGGGGGCGGGGGAGGTAGTCACAGCTTTCACCCACAAATTTAACTCATGTGCAAAATACACCACATGTGAGTCTTAGCTGTTAAATTTAAATAATTATTTCATCAAAACCTTTTTTGGTGTGAGTCTTTATCTAAATTAGTCAGAGCTTTTGGGATTCCCCTGTCTCAAATACTAGGTTTCTGAGTTCAATGGCAACCCAAAAGGTATTACTTGTGTTTTGTTGTGTACTTGAGCTCTGAATGGTTGGCTTTTAATGATTATTTTAAGCATCAGTGCAGAATACAGAGGCCATCTTATCGTCTCAGTTGTGTGAGTTAGTGCTACTCTGAAATAATATGTATCTAAGACCTAGATTTGTCTCAAAGACCGTAAAATGATCCTGCTGTACTGCACTGTGTTGTGCTGCCGTGCATTTCCTTGGCTATGGTTTTGTTCTTTTCAGGGTCTTCAATTGCTTCCATCATCCATGACATCTGAGTGCCACCAGGTTCTGATCCCACCATCAACCTCAGCCTGGACCAGTCCACACAAGACATCCACTTCCTGGACACTACGGTGCTAATAAGCGATGGTCACATAAACACCCCCCTATACCGATAGCCATACTATCAGAGGCTCGTTCACCTGCACATCTACCAATGTGACATATGCCAGCATGTGCCAGCAATGCCCCTCTGCCATGTACATTGGCCAAAGCGGACAGTCTCTACGTAAAACAATAAATGGACACAAATCAGACATCAAGAATTATAACATTCAAAAACCAGTCGGAGAACACTTCAATCTCTTTGGTCACTCAATTACAGACCTAAAAGTGGCAATTCTTCAACAAAAAAACTTCAAAAACAGACTCCAATGAGAGACTGCTGAATTGGAATTAATTTGCAAACTGGACAAAATTAACTTAGGCTTGAATAAAAACTGAGAGTGGATGTGTCATTACACAAAGTAAAACTATTTCCCCATGTTTATTTTCCACCCCCCTACTGTTCCTCACTCGTTCTTGTCAACTGCTGGAAATGGCCCACCTTGATTATCACTACAAAAGGTTCCCACTTCCCCCTACTGCTAATAGCTCACCTTACCTGATCACTCTCGTTACAGTGTGTATGGTAACACCCATTGCTTCATGTTCTCTGTGTATGTAAAATCTCCCTACTGTATTTTCTACTGCATGCATCCGATGAAGTGAACTGTAGCTCATATAAATTTGCTTAGTCTGCTTAGTTTGAGCTT